AGCCGAGCTGGTCCAAGCCACTGGTCGACGCGAGCGCACGCGCTCTGCGACGGTCGCCAGGAGCCTTGGGGCGCGCCGGCCATCACCGGGGATGCTGGCACCGCCGCCTTCAGAGGAGCTTCGCACAGCATGCAGCGGCGGGCCGCCGTTCCACGACGATTCGACGAGCGGAGGCGACAAGAGCCCTGGATGTGCCGATTCCACACCGAACCAGAAGTTCTCCAGTCTGGAGCCTGACGACCACGGTGACAAGGCCGAGCCTGGGCTGCCGGACGTGTATCCTCGCCTCTGCGCGGCTGGTCCCCAGGAGAGCAAGGGCAGCGTATGCCGGGGTCTCTCTCGACGCTCTGCCGGCCCCAGAGGTGCGGGCCAATTTGGTTTCAAAGGTGTCGGGAGGGGAGAACATACAGACACAATTCATCGTCGACTCCCTGGAAAATATGGGAAAATATGGGAAACTATGGGAAATGTGGGGGGGAAGAAGAACAGCCAGAACATATCGGGGAATATGGGGGATCCTGGGATTTGTGTCTATTTGTTCGTGTGCCCCAGGGCCTCTCCAAAGTGAAGGGGCCTCGTGTTGCCTGTCCAGTGTGCCTCATGACAAACTCCTGAGGGCAGCTTACCGAACACCCCTCCATCTGTCCAAACCTTTCCCCCCAAACACAGAAAGCCTTTCAGAAGGCGCGAGGGCTTCTGAGAAGCCCCGCCGCCAGCCGCCCTTCGCCTGCTTTTTTTTGTTGTCTATACCGCAGGGGCCCGGCGATTTCTCGCTCTCAGCCGCTGCTTTGTACTGCGGCAGGTTCGCGCTGCTTCGACGCGGCGGCGACATCGGCAACGCAGCGCAACGCCCGATCGGCCCAGGGCCGGTCCGGATGCTCGGCGGCGAGCGAGGGGGGGGAAGCGAGGAGGGAGAAGGCCTTCTCGAAAGGCGGCGGGACTTTCAGCGCTCGCGCCTCCTGAGAGGTTTTTGGTGTCTTCGGGGAAGGCTTAGAACACTTCTCAGAAGGCCGGGGGGCTTCCGAACCTTCTGAGAAGGCCTTCTGCTTCTCAGTTCCTCCCCTCGCCCGCCGCCGAGATACAGAACACGGGGGTAGACATGCACGGCGACAGTTCCTTAGGAATGTCACTGGAAAAGTCCAGAAACCATCGTAGCAGCAGCACCTGTTGTTCGTCTGGGGCAGGGAAGAGGAGGGTCTAGGTCTCCCAGATGTGGTCGGAGTAGATTGGGTCGGAGGATCGCGACGCATCGCCGATGCAGCGGGGATGCGGCTCGGTCTGGAGCCCGATTTTGTCCACGCCGGCGTCGCCGATGCGTCTCGCCTACGTCGCCGATGCATCGTTGGTGCATCGCCGACCCAGTCTATTCGGACCCCATCGAGGAGGAGGAGGAGGAGGAGGAGGAGGAGGAGGAGGAGGAGGAGGAGGAGGAGGAGGAGGAGCAGGAGGAGAGGAGCAGGAGGAGGAGGAGGAGGAGGAGGAGGAGGAGGAGGAGGAGGAGGAGGAGGAGGACGAGGAGGGACGAGGAGGAGGAGGAGGAGGAGGAGGCAATGCGGCGCGATCCTCCGACCCAGTCTACTCGGACCCCATCGAGGACGCCTCGGGGCGGCCGGGGCAGCATCGGCGAGCCGTCGGTCCACCGGTGCCTCGGCCTTCCTCGCCGTCCAGCGCGGGCGGTCAACACGAAGTGCTGCCATTCAGCCGGCCCTGTCCGTCTACAGGAGGAATGCTACAAAAAAATGGTCAGGGGACGATTTTTAAGTTATTTTTTTTTTGGGGGGGGGGTATTTTTATTTTTTTTGTCCGTACTCCACCTGTAGTGGGACATGCCCGACCTGATGCTGTCAGCGGGCTGGAATCGGCCGATATCGAAAGATCTGCGCCATCGGGGAGCCGCGACCGTTCCAGGCTGTGCGATCCCCGCAGCGTCGGAAACCAACGCCCGGGCGGGCCGTCACCACACGAGCCTGTCGTACACCATAGGCGATGCTTAAGAAAACCTAAGTTTTCGGCCAGAGTCTCGATTATTCTTAACTTTTCAATGTAAATCCCAAGATTTTGATAGAAGTTCTGGGTTTTATTCCATTTCTGAGACTATGAATTTTTTAACCCATGATTTCTTGAGCATTTCGCAGGGTGTACAGTGGGGGCCCATGCCGAGAACCACCCTGCTCGCCCCCAGGATGCCCCGGGTGTCCTGGGCCTCGACGGGCCCTGCGACGGAGCGCGCGACGCTCCCGCACCAGCCATCGATGGACGTCCTGGGGCCTCAAGGTTGGATCCCTTGTGGCGGGCTCCGTGCCGGTCGCCCCCCGGCGAGCGGGGGGTCTGCGGAGGGCATCCCGAAGAGTGCAACCCGTGCGCCTTCTACTGCTTCGCGGCGCGAGGCTGCCGCCACGGCGCCGGCCGCAGCGGCCTGCTCCGGCCCGTCGGTCGGGCGAGGAGGACCGAGCAGCAGCTCCCGTCGAGCTTCGATCAGGAGTAGCCTTAAGTCGGGCCTGTCCCCCTACAGGGGGATTTTCGACGAAAAATAAAAAATACACCAAAAATACACCCAAACGGTCAAAAATACAAAAAAAATAGTCCCCAGATCATTTTTTTAATATTTTTTTGATTATTTTGGGGGTATTTGTCATTTTTCGTCGAAAATACCCCTGTGGGGGGACAGGCCCGACTTAAGATTAGCCCGTCATGCCGCCACGGGCGTTTGCCATTGGGGTCGAGCGTCACCTGTCCAACAGCCGCCGTCGGTTTCGGACCAGGTTTGCTGCTGGGTGTGGTCCCCTCGTTTCCGCCCTGATCTTGGGCGTACAGATCTGAGGATTCGCGATCTCCGGCTGGCCTTGGCGACCGCGAGCGTACACGGTCCCCCTTCCCTTCCTCCTCTTCCTTCCTTCTCCGTCTTGCAAGTTGTTCCAGCCGCTCTTTGTTCCATCTCGGGCCTGTGTGACTGGACGCACACGCCCAATTTTGTCGCAGGCGCGAGAGAGCTACTTCCTGGGAGCGCCATCGGTCTGGAGAGCGATCATCAAGCCGATCGCAGTCCGCAGTATTCGGATCGCCTCGTGTTCGCCCGCCTGGGTCCCAGAGCATGTGCTCTGGCGCACGAGTTGGTGCCATCTGTGTGGCTTCAGCCATGTGGTGGGTGGTATGTGGTGCAGGTTGCGCGATGCTGAGGAGGAGGAGGAGGAGGAGGAGGAGGAGGAAGAGGAGGAGGAGGAGGAGGAGGGGGAGGAGGGAGAGGTGGAGGAGGAGGGGGGGAGGAGGGGAGGGGGAGGAGGAGGAGGAGAGGAGGAGAGGAGGAGGAGGAGGAGGAGGAGGAGGGGGAGGAGGAGGACGAGGAGGAGGAGGAGGCTGTGTGGTGTAGGCTGCGTGGTGCATGCCTGCCGGGTTTTTCGTGGGCCGCCCCTCTCGTTGGAGAGGCTGCGCCGTGGGAGCCTCGTCGGTGTCACGGTGGCTGTCGCCTGGTCGTGCCCAGGCGGTCGTTGTTCAGGAGAGGAAAACACACACACAGAGACAATTAGTCGTCGATTACCAAGAAAATATTTTAAATATGGGAAGTGGGGGGGAAGACAAAAACACAGAAAATATGGGAAACTATGTGGAATTCTTTTATTTGTGTGTATTTATTTGTGTGTCCCTGGGCCCCTTGAGTTGTGCGCTGTGGTGGTTTCTGACTACAGTCAACCCGCATCGCAAGGATGGGCGACTTTTCAAGGTCACCCCTGCATCCTTGTCCCTTCGGCTCATTCTTTATCATTTTCGTTGGCCAAGTTCGTTCGAAAAGCACTAACGTGGCCCTCCAAGGCCCTTGCATCCTTACCGCGCATCCTTACTATGCGGGTTGACTGTAGCTCCCGAGCTGAGTCGAGCTGCTGGCGGCCGTGCTGTGATGTATGCAAGCGCTGTAGCGCGCGGTGCCACGACGAGAAGACTGCATACCTTCTCCTCCTCCTCTCCTCCTCTTCCTCCCTCCCCCTCCCTTCTGTGCCACGCAATGCAAAGCAGTGCAACGCAATGCTCTGCAAAGCAGTGCAACGCAACGTTACGCAATGCAACGCACAGCACCGCAAAGCAATGCAAAGCAATGCAACGCAATGCAAAGAACATCGAAGCAATGCAAAGCAAGGCATCGCGATATGATGCAGTATACTGCAGTGCAAAGCAATGCAAATTACTGTAATGCAGAATTCAAAGCAATGCAACGCATAGCGACGCAATGCAACGCAGTGCAACTCAATGTATGTGTACCGCAACGCAGAGCAACGCACATCAATGGACATCAACATAACACAACGCACCGCAGTGTAAAGCAGTGTGAACGCAACGCAACGCACTGCGAACCAGTGCAATGCGATACACATCAATGCAATGCAATACGATGCAAAACAAAGCAAAACAAGGTAAAGTTATGCAACGCCATGCGAAGCAATGCCAATCAATGCAAAGCACTGCAACGCAGCTTAACGCAATGCAGAACAACGCAAAGTAATGCGAAGCGATGTCATGCAACGCGAAGCAACGCACAGCAATTCAATATAAAGCAAAACCATGAACATCACTGTATATCCATGAGGACCAGTGCAAAGCAATGCAATGCCATGTGCACAATGTAAAGCACTGCGAGGCAATACAAAGCAATGCAAAGCAATGCAAAGCCATGCAAAGCAATGCTAGCTTCGCAAAACAATGCAAACCAACGCAAAGCAACATGCGAATCAAGGTGCAAAGCAATGCGTAACAAGGCAAAGCAATGCACTGCAATGCGATGCACAGAAACGTAAAGCAGCGCAGGCCAGTGCACATCAATGCAATGCAATGCAATGCCATGCCATGCCATGCCATGCCATGCAATGCAATGCAATGCAATGCAATGCAATGCAATGCAATGCAATGCAAGGCAAGGCAAGGCAAAGCAATGTAAAGCGATGCGACGCAACACGAAGCACTGCAAAGCACTGCAAAACAACGCAGCGCACTGCAGATCGATCTCGCAGTGCATAGTGCGAGCCTCGCACGATCAAAGTCGTGAGCCAACTCGTGCGGCCGCGACGGGCGGCCACAACGCCGGTCCGACCAGCGCAGAGTGCCAGTTGCGCGCCTCGCTCAGTCAACGTCGTGACCAGCGCGGTGCCGCGACGGGCGGCGGCGACGGGTGGCCACGGGCGGTCACAAGCTGGCCGGGCCGGCGCACAGGTCCAGTTTTTCGTGAGAGGAGTAAGCGCCTTGAGTGCAAGCGCTGCTTGTGGAGTATCGCGCTGCCGGTTTGGCCGACCCATGCTGCTCGGTGGACCTTGGCGGAGGCATCTGGGGCAGTCTTTGGGAGCTGTGGGCGCGTTCGGGGTGATGACTGTCGCAGGAGAGACGCAGCGACACATACACACAAACTTTGGCGCTCTGCGCGGATTTCTTTGATCTGCGCTGGGCCCTCCCGGCGGCGCCTCCGGCCCCGCTCCGCCTGCCGGGGAGGGGGGTCCAGCGCGGATCCACGAAATCCGCGCGGACCTCCAACACTATGTGTGTGTGTGTGTGTGTGCTTTTTTTGCCTCTCTAGATTGGCTGAGCTGTCGCCGAAAAACTCCGCGCCTGCGCCTCCAGGCCGCGGCTCCAGGCGCCGGCGGCGCTCCCAGAAAGGAGGTGGTGCAGCTGGGGCTGGCCCTCGGAGGAGGCTGGGGGCATCTCCGGAGCCCTCCTGCCTTCCGAGAGGTCCTCTCGGGGGCTTCGGACCCCCCCGCCCCCAAGAAGCACCCTGTCTTCCCCCTCCCCTCCACGATGCCCTCTGGCATCTCTTCGCGGACCTCCGAGTTCCAAGTTCCGAGTTGCTGCCTGGCGACGCCGAGCTGCTGCCTGGCGAACAGCCGGGGCGCTGGAAATTTACGATGGGGTTCTCGTTTTGAAGAGAGCATTGTGGTCTCCGTCCTCTCCCTCCCCCTCTTTATCATCCTCCTCCTCCTCCTCCTTCTCCCCCCTCCTCCTGCCCACTGCCTGCTCCTCCCTTCTTCTCCTGCCTCCTGCCTTCTTGCCTCCCTTGCTTGTGCCTTTCCTACTGGGGGGCTGCGAACTGCGCAACTGTCGCCACTTCCGTGGGCTCCTGGGAGGCACGGCGGAGATGCGGGCATCGGGGATCACTTCGAGACCTCGCGGCTCCGTCGGTGGCTGCGACCTGCGCAATTGTCGCCACTTCCGTGGGCTCCCTGGGGGCACGGCGGAGGTGAGGGCAGCGGGGACCGCTTTGAGACCCCGCGGCTCCCTCGGGAGCTGGGAACCGGCGCAGCTGTCGCCACTTTCGTGGGCTCCTGGGAGGCACGGCGGAGTCGAGGGCGGCGGGCATCCTCCTCGTCAGGGGCTGCGAACCGTCCCAGCTGCAGCCGCGTTCGCGGGCTCCCAGAGGTGCAGGGCAGAGGTGCAGGGCAGCCCGGATCGATTTGGGACCTCGCGGCCCCCTCGCGGTGCGGACTGGCGCGGGTGTCTCCACTCGCGTTGGCTCCCGGGATGCACGGCGGAGGTGAGGCCACGGGGGTCACTTTGAGACCTCGCGGCTCACTCGGGGGCCGCGAGCTGCGCAATGGTGCAGTTGTCGCCACCTCCGTGGGCTCCTGGGAGGCACGGCGGGCGTGAGGGCAGCGGGGGTCCTTTTGAGACCTCGCGGCTACCTCCAGGCTGCGAACTGGGTCACGGTCGCCACTTTCGTGGGCTCCTGGGAGGTATCGCGGAGTGCAGGGCAGGTCATTTGAGACCTTGCTCTTCCCTCGGGGGCTGCGACCTACGCAGCCGTCGCCACTTTCCTGGGCTCCTGGGAAGCACGGCGGAGTCGAGGGCAGCGCAAATCCTTTGAGACCTCGCGGCTCCGTCGGGCGCTGCGAACTGCGCAGCTGTCGCCAGTTTCGTGGGCTCCTGGGAGCGGCAGAAATGCGGCCAGAGCAGATCATTTGAGACCTCGCGGCTTCCGTGGGGGCGGCGAACTGCGCAGTTGTCTCACTTTCGTGGGCTCCTGGGAGGCACGCCGGAGTCGAGGGCAGCGCGGATCATTTGAGTCCTCGCGGCCCCTTCGGGGGTTGCGAACTGCGCAACTGTGGCCACGTTCGTGGGCTCCTGGGAGGCATGGCGGAGGTAAGGGCAGCGCAGATCATTTGGAGGTATGGCAGAGTTTAGGGCTCCGAATCATATGAGACCTCGACGCGCGTGGCCCGACATCGTTTGGCGACGCATTTCAGAGTTGCGTTTCTTGCAACATGCCCTGTTGTATAACACGTTCATATAAGTAGTCGCATCGCGTGGAGAAGGGGTGGTGTACACCTCGAGTAACGTGTAAATATGTTTGCCCGTGGCGGCTTCACCCTCGCTCGCCGCCTCACCTTTATCATGACGGAAGATCTCCGAGCCGTGTCGGGGCGTCTGTGCGTTGTCTTGAAGACATTTGGAGACATCATGCGGAGACGGATGGGAATCATCATCACAGACTGAGACGTTGGGGCTGGTGTTGAGCACATTGTCTTATTTCTGGAGCGCTCCCCGCGCGAGACTGGCGCATTTCGCGAGAGACGCTAGTTTCGGGAGCGCGACTCTGGCGTAAATCACGAAGGATTCTGGCCTCGGGAGCGCGAACCTTGCGCCTTGTACAGAAAGGATTCTGGCCTCGGCAGCACGATTTTTGGTTGTAATCCTGCACGTTCCGCGTATCCCTATCTGCTCTCTCAGAAACCCTGCCCACGAGAGCTGACGGGGACATGGACGAGAAGACGCCTATTTTGAAACGGACACTCAGGATGAACAGAAGGATCTCTGGGAGCAAGGAGGTGGCCTTGGAGGGCCTCTTCGGGCCATCCCTGGGGCCCGCGGGACGGCGAGGGGAGGGGGAGGCAGAGGAGGAGGAGGAGGAGGAGGAGGAGGAGGAGGAGGAGGAGGAGGAGGAGGAGGAGGAGGAGGAGGAGGAGGAGGAGGAGGAGGAGGAGGAGGAGGAGGAGGAGGAGGAGGCGGAGGAGGAGCAGGAGGCGGCTGCGGAGGCGGAGGCGGAGGCGGAGGCGGAGGCGGAGGTGGAGGCGGAGGCGGAGGCGGAGGCGGAGGCGGAGGTGGAGGCGGAGGCGGAGGCGGAGGCGGAGGCGGAGGCGGAGGCGGAGGCGGAGGCGGAGGCGGAGGCGGAGGCGGAGGCGGAGGAGGAGGAGGAGGAGGAGGAGAAGGAAGAGGAAGAGGAATAATACTAATAATAATAATACTAATCAGAATAATAAGAAGAATAATACTACTACGAAGAATAATAATAAGACTATTAATAATGATTATAATAATAAGAAGAAGGATAATAAGACGAAGAATACGACGAATACTACTAATAATAAGAAGAATATTAATACCAATAAGAAGAACACTACTACTAATAATAATAATAATAATAAAAAGAATACGAATACTAATAACAATACGAAGAATATGACGAATAACACTAATAATAAGAAGACGAAGAAGACTACTACGAATCATACTAATAATAATACGGAGAAGAAGAATACGAAGCATAATAATGAGACGACGAAGAAGAAGCAGACGAAGAAGACTACTACTAATAATAATACGACGCGTAATAATAACAAGAATAATACTACCACTACGAATAATAATACTAATACGAAGAATAATAATAATAAGCAGAAGAATAGTACTAATCATACTATTATCATTAATAATAATATTAATAAGAAGAATACGAATACTAAGAATAATAATACCACTAAGAATAATAAGACGACTAATAATAATAAGACGAAGAAGAAGACGCATAATAATAAGACGAAGAAGAAGACGAATACTAATAAGAATAATAATAATAAGAATAAGAAGAATAAACATACGAACAATACTACTAAGAATAAGAAGAAGAGTAAGAATACTAATAATTTTATTAATAAGAATAATACGAAGAATAATAAGCATAATAATAATAAGAATACTAAGAAGACAATTAATACTAATACTAACAATAATACTAATAATACGAACAAGAAGAAGAGGAGGAGGAGGAGGAGGAGGAGGAGGAGGAGCTCGAGTCACACCGCCTCTTGTGGCCCCAGTGGGACGCTCTTGTGGCGCTCTTGCGTGTTTTTTGGTGTCTTGGGGCCCTCTTGCTGCCCTCTTGGGGCCCTCTTGGAGCTCTTTTGGGGCCCTCATCTTGGGGCCATCCTGGAGGCCATCGGTCAAAAGAGGGGGGGTCACCGATTTGCCTCCCCCCTCCCAGGCCCTCAGAATCGCTACTTGGGGCTTTTTTGGGGCCCTCTTGGGGCGCTCTTGGGCTGCTCTTGGGCGCTCTTGGGGCTGTCTGGAGGGCCTCTTGGGCCTCTCTCATGGGGCTCTCTTGGACCATGTTGGGGCTATCTAGAGGCCTCAACAGCGAATCGGAGGCGAACATGCCAGAAAGCATACATCGTGTAGTTTCCCACAGTTTTTGAAGGATTTTGGCTTCTTGGGGGGTCCTGATGGGGGTTTCGAGGGCACTTCAGGCAGCCCCATGGGGGTATCTTGAAGCACGTTGGAAGCCATCTTGAGACATCGGCTATCTTGGGCCATCTTGGAGGCCATCTTGGCGCATCCGAAAATATCTTGAGCCATCTTGGACGCTCTACTCCCTCGGCCCCCCTCCAAATAACCTCAGGGAGGGGAGGGGCAGGGCACCCCTCCCCGAAGGGATGAGGGTTTTGGAAGAGAGAAGAAACCATCGTTAGACCACCTAGGACCCCCATAGGGCTGGTGGGATTTCTGAGGGAACCTGGCTTCGGGAGCGCGAACCTAATGGAAGTGACGAGGGATTCCTGTTTTGAGAGCCCGAATCTGGCGTAAAGAAAGGTATTCTGGTTTCGGGAGCGCGAATCTGGCTAACCTACAACACGATTCTGGCTTCGGGAGCGCGAGCCCGGCGGAATTTACGAAGGATTCTGGCCTCGGGAGCGCGAGCCTGGTGGAGTTTACAACGGATTCTCAGTTCGGGAGCCAGAATCTGGAGTCATTTATGTGGGATATGGCCTCGGGGGCGCGACTCTCATGTATTTTCAAGCGTGCTTGGCCCCCAACGGAGTTTTCAGAACCCTGGGGATGGGTCGGACATGTCCAACTTTCAGTCCCACCCCATTCGCGTGGACAGCAGCATCTTAGAGTTGGAAGCCCGAAGTCGAACGGTACAACATTGGAGACTGGAAAGTGGCAGCAGCGCAGAGTGCAGGACGCCTCCTCCGCGCAGCCTGGTGGCCCCACAGGGGGTCGCCGGATTTTGTTTGTTTCTTCGCTTGTTATGTTGTTCTGGTTTTGTCTTTCTCCTCTCTCTCTCTCGCTCGCTCGCACGGCCAGCGCCGAGCGCGAGCTCGACCGCTTTGGTGTTTTGACAGCGGGGGCGTGGGGGCGCCGCGTTTCCCACCCAGCGCCGCTGGGGCTGCTACGGATTTTTTCCAACGCTGCCGCCCGATGCGGTAAACTTACACGCGGCACCGCACATGTACACGCATGTCGAGTAGAAACAAATTACTTTGTGTGGCGACTCCAGGGTTACGCAAGCTGTGTCAAAGCGTCCTGGCTCGCCCGTGGGCCCAGCGCAGAACGTTCAGTTAACCTCGCGTGGCCTGCACGGACTACTCTGCGAACGCGTCTGGCCGAGACAGTCCTTTTTTGTTCACACGTCGGGCGAATGTTCTGAGAGCATTTTTTTTTTTTTTTTTTTTTTGTCTCAGAGCATCCCCGGGCTCCGGGAGCACACCCTCGTGGCAGGACTCCTCGGGAGTGCTCTGGGACGCTCGGCCCGCCGGCCGGAGCCCGCACGCCGAGGCAGCGACTGCAGCTTCTGCCACCTCCTGCACGAGTCCAAGCTGCAGCGGCGGCGCGCGGAGTGGAAGATGGCCCAGCGGTCGAAGCGCCTGGCCCGGAAGCAGGGCGCGCCGGCCCCCGAGGCGGAGGCGGCGGCGGGGCCGAAGAAGCACCGCGGCCCCCGGCCCTTTTTCGGGCGGGGCAGGAGCACACGGGCGCAGACGGGCGTGGATTTCCAGGAAGACGTGGGGAGATGTGGGAAGTGTGTGGGGGGTGGGGGGAGACGAGAACCCAGAGAGCACGGGAAGACGGGAGGACTCTTGGGATTTGTGTCTGCTTGTTTGTGTGTCCCTGGGCCCCTTCACCTCTGTCCGCTCAGGTCGATGTCCTCCTGCGGAGGGGGTCGGCCATCCGCAGAGGGGGGTCGGGGGGTTGTGGGGATCAAGGCTTCTTGGAAGGGGGCTGATTTTCAGAAGGCGCGGGCCTCGTCTGTAGAGGTAAGGCCCGCGCCTTCGGTAAAGCAGCCTCCTTTTGAGAAGGCGTCCTTCTGGGTCGGTAAAACGATGTGGCTGGACCTCAGAGAAGGGATGTCTGTCTTAGAAAGAGTGCGTTCTGTGGACGCCGTGAGGGTGGGAGGGCATTGGGGGGGGGGGCCCTCCTCCGGAGGTGCAAAGGGCGGGGAAGGGGGGGCTTGAACTGGGACCCCCCCCATACAGAGGGGGAGGGGTTCGAACCGGGGGGGCCCCCCCGAGTTGCAGAGGGAGGACCGGGCGGGGCCCCCCTCCTTCAGTCCAAGGGGGGGGGGACGCTTCGAATCGGGGGCTCACCCCCTCGGCCTCCTCTGCAACAGCACGGCGAGCGCCGGCGCCAGCGCCGGCGACGTCGGCCAGCGACGACGACGACGGCGACGGCGGCGACGACGACGACGACGGCGGCGGCGGCGACGACGACGGCGACGGCGGCGACGACGACGACGACATGACGACGGCGGCGGCGGCGCCGACGGCGACGGCGACGGCGACGGCGACGGTTGCGACGGCGAGTGCGACGGCTACGGCAAAGGCGGCGACGACGGCGACGGCGGCGACGGCGGCGGCGGCGACGGTGGCGACGGCGACGGCGACGACGACGACAATGTCGCGCACAAGGCCCCCCCCATTGAGTTGCAGGGGGGGGGGTCGAACTGGGGGGGGCCCCTGCAACCGACGACGGCGAGCGCCGGCGCAGGCGAGGGCGCCGTCGGATAGCAACGACGACGACAACGACGACGACGTCGACGAAGGCGACGGCGACGGCGACTGCGACTGCGACGGCGACGGCGACTGCGACGACGACGACGACGACGACGACGACGACGACGACGACGACGACGACGACGACGACGACGGTGGCGGCAGCGGCGGCGGCGGCGGCGGCGGCGGCGGCGACGACGACGACGACGACGACGACGACGACGGTGGCGGCAGCGGCGGCGGCGGCGACGGCGACGACGACGGCGACGACGGATCGCCGACGGGTGTCGTTCTGGGTGTGCCTGGATCGCCCCGAGCGGCCGTCGGAGAGCCGAGCCCCGAGGGCCAGGGGGCAACGTCGGGGGGTGGAGGCGCAGGCCCCCCCCAGTCGCCAAGTCGGTCTCGATCAGCAGAAAGAGGCGACACCACCTCCTCCCCCCTCCCCCCTCTCTCCTCTCCTCCTCCTCCTCCTCCTCCTTCTCCTTCTCCTCCTCCTCCTCCTCCTCCTCCTCCTCCTCCTCCTCCTCCTATTCCTCCTCCTCCTCCCTGCGGCCGTCCACGTTGCGCTAGTTACGGGACATCGGGGGCCGCAGCGCACGCCACGCGAACGCCGACGCCAGGCCTGTTGTGCGCTGAGGCCCGTGGGGCGGCAGGTGGGGAGGTGTCGTTTGTCCTCTGGTCCACATTCGGCGCCGAGGGGGGGGGGCCTGATGCCCCTCCCCGCCCAGGAGCGTGCGGCTGCGCTATCGAGGGCCTGTCGCCGATCCAGCGGCGACGTGTCGCTGAGTCCAGGTCGATGTTCCCCCCCCCCGAGCCGGTTCACCCCTGCGGTCGGACCGAGGTATAAGGTCGAGGTCGGTTCGGGGAGGGTGCCCTACACGCCGGTCGTTGAACATAGGTATTTTTGGATTCCCAGATCCCAATCTACTTCAAGCGCCTTCCTACTTCAAGAATCGACACGCTTTTGCTGTGTTTTGTCATTCTCTGGGGGGCCTGAACCCAATCAACTTAATCCGCCTTCCTACTTCATGTTTTTACCTACTTCTTCCGACCGACGTGTAATGTTCTTCGTGTTTGGTGGGTGTTCTGGTTCATCCTGGGGGAGGGCACCCTCGAGTGATCTTATGGTCTGGGGTGTTTTGGCCGGCGGAGGGTCTCATGTTCTTGAAGGGTGTTCTTCTGCCCCGGGTCCGGCCGCATCGTTTCCCTTGAGCCAGGACTAGGAGGAGGAGGAGGAGGAGGAGGAGGAGGAGGAGGAGGAGGAGGAGGAGGAGGAGGAGGAGGAGGAGGAGGAGGGAGAGGAGGAGGAGTGAGGAGAGGCAGGTAGGAGGAAGGGAGGAGGAGGAGGAGGAGGAGGAGGAGGAGGAGGAGGAGGCGGAGGAGGGGGGAGGAGGAGGCGGAGGCGGAGGCGGAGGCGGAGGTTCGTTCGAAGAGCGCCAGCGGGGCGAGCTCGCTGCCTCGTGTGCGGGGGGCGGGGCGCCCGAGGCGGATGAGCGGCGCCCGGGCGGCGAGCTGAGCCAGAAGGATTCTTCTGGGGCCAAAGCAGCAGATTCAGCACTCTAGATTTCGTAGTAAAGGGAGGGGGGCCTCATTTCGGGGGGGGTCTCTTCCAGGCTATCTTGGAGGGCCTGGGGGGGTCTGGGGACGACGTTTTGGAGGGTTCTCCCGCGGGGGGGGGGTCTGAAATGGCTTGTCTTGGAGGGTCCAGACCCCCTCCCTTTTATTACGAAATCTGGAGTACGGTCGGTCCGAGGTATAAGATCGAGGTCGGTTCGGGGAGGGCCCCTCTGATGTTCTCCGTGTCTGCTGGAGTCGGGGCTGGACCTATAAGCGCTGTTTGGCTGGACTTCGGCCGTGTTTGGTTTTTTGTTGTGGCAGGGAGGTCCAGGAAAGCAGGTAGAGCAAAACGAACAACAAAACGACACCAAAACGAACAACAACGTTTGGGCCCAGGAGGCCCGGCCCTTGTTGGATGTTCTTGCGCATCCTGGGGAGGACACCTTTGGATGCCCCGTGTATTTTGGCTGGTGGAGGGTCTCATGTTCTTGAAGGATGCCTTTTTGTCCTAGGTCCGACAGTATTTGTTGCCCCTAGCCCGTCTACGGTTGATCAACATGTTCAGTAGATTTCGTCCCAGTATTTTCGGCGGCGAGCGACGGGGGAAGCGAGAAAGGAGAAGGCCTTCTCAGAAGGTGGCGGGACTTCTCAGAAGCCCTCGAGCCTTCTGAGAGAGTTCTTTCTGTCTTCGGGGAGGGCTTAGAGAGTTTCTCAGAAGGCCGGGGGGCTTCCGAGCCTTCTAAGAGGGCCTGCCCCTTCTCACTTCCCCCCAGGCGCGCCGCCTAGAAGCGGCATACACACCGGTCGTTGAGGACAGGATTGCGAAGGCCTTACGGCCAGTGCCGCCGACCCTGAAGGGCGACGACGACGACGGCGACGGCGACGGCGACGGCGACGGCGACGACGAGCGCTCTCGGGGGTCTCTTGAGGGTAGTTTTGGGGCCTCTTCGGAGGCTCTTGGGGCCTCTTGGGAGCTTCGTGAGGGCCTCTTGGGGCTTCCTGGGGGTCTCTTGGGGGCCTCTTGGGGCCTCTTGGGGGGCTTCTTGGGGGCCTCTGGGGGCCGCCCGGGCGCCTCTCAGGGCGAGGGCTCGAAATGTCCGTTCGGCTCCCCTGTCTGGGCTCCCTCTTGGAGCCGTCTTCGGGGCCTCTTGGGCCGTCTTGGAGGCCTCTTGGGTCGTCTTGGGGCCATCTTGGGTCGTCTTGGGGCCGTCTTGGGGGCCTCTTGGCCCGTCTTGGGGCGATATTGGGGGCCTCTTGGGCCGTCTTGAAGCGTCGGGAAGCCGAAAACGCGAGAACTCCAAAAACCGTCAAAAAACAAAGGGAATGCTATGATTTTTGCACCTTGGGGCCTTCTTGGGAGTGCTTTTGGAGGCCTTTTGGGACGTTCTCGAAACCTCTTGAGCCGTCTGGAGGCTACTTTGGCGTGTTCGACCGATAGTTCGGCGATGCGGGGCCCTCGAGGACCGTATTGGAGCCTCTTGGGGCACTTTTGCCGCGTCTTGGGGGTTTTCTGGGCCCCAGAACCGCCCGGGGGGGAGGCGTATCTGGGTGGCGACCCCCCCGGCGACCCCCCCCCCCCTCGGTGGGGAAGGGATCAAAGGGAAGGGGCCCCCCTTCGACTCAGCGACAACGTTACTCAATGTCGCTTTGGCTAGCGCGCTTCAGGATGAGGGCCCATGGAAAAGAGACTGGGGACGACGGAGACGACGAGGAGACGACGGAGACGGAGACGACGACGGAGACGACGAGGAGACGACGAGGAGACGACGGAGATTACACGACAACGACGACGACGACGGCGACCAACGGAAGAGCGTCTTCCACACGCCGAGGGTCGGCGGATTTTTTTGGACTCCCAGATCTCAATCTACCCACGGCGCCTTCCTACTTCAAGCGTCGAGCGGGTGTCCCTCTTCCCACTTCTTCCCGCCCTCGCTCGACGCCGACCAGGCCCGTCCACGATGTGCGCGCACGGCCCCGTGTGTCGTCGGTGGCCGAACCGTCCCCCCCCCCGCCCTGTGAGGGGAGGCCTCGCCAGATCAAGGCACTGGCTCGTGGGCGGGTAGCACGGTCCGACAAGCTTCGAAGGATAGGTTGCACCATAAGCATGATCTTTCGGCGCTCCGATCTCTTGGATCCGCGCGGGGCCCCCCTCCCTGGCGCGGAGAGCGCGCCAGGGGCGGCGCCGAGGCGCCACCGGGGGGAGGAGGCAGCGCGGATCCAAGAAATCCGCGCGGAGCGCCAACAGTTTATGCTGATGGCATTCTTTTTGAAAGTTGTATCTTGTGCTGGGATGTTCGCAATCAATCCCAAGCGGAGACATTGTGTTTCGGGTCAGGTCGGGGCAGCTTGATGGTCAGCAGCTGGTAGACGGTCCACGATCTGCTCATGCTCGTCCTCATCCTCGTCGTCCTCCTTCGCCCTTCCTCGTCCTCGCTCCCCTCATCATCCCCCGCCCCTCTCTCCCCCGTGGCTTCCGCCCCTCCTCTCTCTCTCTCTCTCCCTTGCCCTCCCTCTCTTCCCTTCCCCATTCGCCTCCTCTTTCCCCGCCTCCCCCTCCCGTGCTTTGTGGGCCCCGGAAACGGCAGGGCTGTTTTTTCACCGTTTCCCCAAAAATGTCCCTTGAACATGGAAACGGCAAAAAAACGGCGACCGGAAACGGCAAGAAAAACGGCTCCAGGATTGGAACCGGAGCCGGAACCGGTCAAAAAACGGCGACGGAACCAGTAGAAAAACGGCGCTCGGAACCGGTAAAAAAACGGCAAAACGGAACCGGTAAAGAAACGGCCTTGTCGTTTCCAGGGCCCACTAAGCTCCCGTGCCCATTCCCTCCCCCAACCTCCTCCGACCCCTACCTCCTTCCGAGGAGGTCTGGGTTTCCGCCACGCATAAATCTGCCCCGCACTTCTTGGCGGGTGCGTTCTGGCTATACAATCGAGGCGGATCCAGCGGTGGGGCGCCCCGGGAGGGCGCCAAAAGCGACCGAAAGAGAAGAACCTCGAGTACTCGAACCGCCACGCGAGGGGGGGAGCCCTTGCTTCCCTCTCTTATGGGATCCAGTATAAAGGGGGAGGTGGGGGAGGACGAGAAGGAGGAGGAGGGGGAGGACGAGGAGGGGGAGGAGGAGGAGGAGGGGGAGGGGGAGGGAGGGGAGGGAGGGAGGGGGAAGGGAAGGGGAAGAGGAAGGGAGGAAGGGGAAGGGGAATGGAAGGAGCTAGAAGGGGACTGGGGACTATTGGCGTGAGGGGGGGAGGGCGAGGCGGACAGCGGGAGGAGGAGGTGGAGGAGGAGGTGGAGGCAAGCTAGGTGCGCTCGCGTCATATCTGACGTCCTACCCCTCCCTCCATCCCTTACCATGGCACGATGATTTGCTGATTCCGCGGATCTAGTGGGGGGTGTGGTGCGCGTAGAGTGCGTATGCTTAGTGCGTGCGTGTGTGCGGGTTGTGGTGTTGTTTGTGGTTGGTGGTGGTGGTGGTGGTGCTGCTGGAGCTTGGTGCTGGTTGGTGTTGTGGGTGGTTTTGTGGTGGTGGTGGTGGGTGGTTTGTGTGGTGTGGTTGGTGGGGTGTGGTGAGTGGTTGGTGGTGGTGGTGGTGGTGTGCTGTGGCATGGCACGGGAAATGACGCCAGCGCTGCAGCGGGAGCACGAGTCGAAACGGGCGGAAGCGCGGAAATGAGGCCAGCGCTACAGCGGGAGCACGATTCGGAACTAGCGGAAGCACGGAGATGAGGCCAGCGCTGCAGCGGGAGCACGATTCGGAACGAGCGGGGCCCGAAAATGAGGCCGGCGCGTCGGCGAGAGCAGCATTTTGAAAAACATACAAGCGAAAACCCGTTTCCCGGGAATCTTGTGTGTAAAAAAACAATACGCGGGGGGGTGTCGGATATTTTTCGGGACGCCATCAGGGGAAGTGGGAGAGTATTTTCCTA